AAGAAACCAGATGGTGACCAGCTTTCAGAAAGCTGGGACTTAAAGACTTGTCTTCAAACAAGCAGCCATCTAAGTGAGGCACCAACTAAATCCACATGGAAGAATCACACCAGCCAGTGTGATCCCAGGATTATAAATAACAAAATCCAAATCTAAAGGAGGGAATGATTCAGAGAACAAATTCTGAACACTGGGTTTGCAAAAGTCTATGGATGACAGTGGAAGCCCAGAATGCATTTGTAGAGTTCCCACATGGATTAAGCTTCCTGTGAATTCTCCCTGATGATAGTTGAAGAATGTGAATATCCTTGTTATCAGACCGAGAGCATTTTAAAGTCGATTATGGCACATGTAGTTAGGTTAAAATGTAACTATTTGATCTCCCTTTTGACCCATTTTAACATTCCAGTTTGTAGTATTTTCTGCTTTCTTTTCCATTGAGGTTTTTCTATATGTTTTGTCTTGTTGGGCTTTATTTGTTTGTTTGTTTACTTCCTCTTTTTGTTTTGTTCGATTTTCTGTATACGAAATCCAGGGTAGGTATATCTAGAGAGGTAGTTACTGGATTGATAAATGTCTAGGGGTATGGCAGGGGAGGATGAGGGTGGGGAATGAAGAGCTAACAATGCGTAGAAGCAGAAAATGTTCTGATATTGATTGTGGTGATGACTACAACTCTTCTTAAAATGATGGAACAATGAAATATTGTGATATATAAAGTATATGCCAAAAGAACTATTTTTAAATGGATGCAAGCAGTAATGATTGAACAAAAGATGCTACACAAGACAGAGAAGCAATGAATATAAAACCCTACGTAGAAACCCTCTTGTATGCAAAGTCAGATGATTCCCTAGTAGCCAAGTCAAGGGCTTAATTTTAATCCTACCTCCACGATCAGCTTTCTTTTGGTTGGCTGGTGCTTGAGAGTGTCTCTGTGTCTGGATGGAGAAATTCCAGACCAGGAATTAAGACAGCCTGTTCCAGTAGACCATCTGCTCAGCCGTACAGGACTCCTCAGGAACTGTTTGAACAAAGGGCCTCACACGATGTTTTGTATTGAGCCCTGCAAATTCTGTAGCTGGTTCCGCTTACAACATGGATTCTCTTAACATTGCACAAACCTATTGATATCCCTCGACCTCAGTTTCATCTCACTAATGGGAGAGTAGGTTTTTATTTCACCACCTATCTGTAAAGTTGTCCTACTGTGACTGGCATGCTGCTATAAGGTTAGAGGCTAGCCCAGAAGTATTGAAGTTTGAGCAGGGTCATCGATAATGGACAGGTTTCACGGAGCTTCCAGACTAAGAGAGGTCTTAAGATAAGACCTGATGATCTACTTTTGAAAATGAGCCAATGAAAACGATGTGGTTCACAAAGATTATTGTCCTATAGAATGCTGGATGATAAGCCTGCCGCGTGTCCCCAACCCTCCTCCTTCCTCCACCCCTCCTCAGGCTGGGAGGTAATGCACAACAGCTGCAACCTTGAATTCAAATAGCCCAGATCTCAAAGATGGCTCATTTTTGATATCAGTTTCTTCTGTTATACATAAGGCAGCCATGAGCAGGAGCAAATTTGAAGGTAACTAACAACACATTTATATTATACTTAGGGGCCAAAACGCTGATGGGATAAGTAATCTCCACTTTGCCATAGTCCCCACAACACCCTATTTGATTAAACTAGTTTATGTCATGCATCTGCATTACTTTTCTGGGCTCAGTAGGCAGCTGCATTTGTAGCGACTAGATCATATGACTTACAACAGCTGTTTCAGCTCTTGAACTCTTTTGTAAGGAGACAGCGATAAGATAGTTTTTCTCAATAATAAACATTTTTATAGAAGTTGCTGGAATTCCTGCCATCACTATGGATTTACATTTTATTTCATTACTAAAGTGCCCTAGTTTTTATAAGACATGGTTCTATTACAGAAACACCAATGGTGTCATCATTTGAATAAGAACTCACGATGCACATTTATAAGGCAGAGTTTATTTCCACAAATATCTACAAGAAGTAATATTCTCAAGCATTTTCACAATAAGCAAAAAAAATCATTTCTTTTTCACCTGTGTGTGTGTCTGGAGTTTTATGTAAGTTACAGTTTTAAATTGTGTCTAGCTGTTGTTGTTTCATTTTTTGTTTTTTTGATGTGTGTATCTCTCATTCCCACTTTCTGCCGTCTTGTATAAATAATTTGTACCAATCAAAACAGTAGACAACTCTCTGTCATGAAAGAATCTTGTTAACACAGCAGG